ACCTGCCCCCACAGGGCCGGCTGGGATCCGGCGCTTCTGGCGGCAAAAGGGGTTTCAAGCCTCCAGGAAAGGATGTGGAGAATAGTAGTAGGTTTAAAAAGGGGGGAGGGGGTGCTTAATGAGCCTTTTTGAAACACCGCGTTCCACACGCGAGTGCTTCGGGGGATCGCGGTGCTCTCCTGTGGGAGCCCGGGAGGTGCATGCTGGAGGCACGGCTGGCTGTGAGGTGGGGAAGTGTGCCCTTTACGTGTGCTTAGGTTGCTTCCTTCCCCCTGGCTTTTTAAGGTCACATTTATCTCAAGTAGCCAAGTGGGGTACCTTGGAAACTCAGGCCCTGTTATTTGGTTTGGGTATTAATTATTGGGTGAGATGCTTTGATGTTCCAGAACATGGGCAAATGAATCCTCTCCCTTCTTTCCCTCAGTTGCACAGGACAAGAGGATCTCTCTTCCATGCTGTATTTCTGATGCTTTAATAGGGAGAGATTTGGTAGAGAGGGTGATAACAAGGAAAAAAAAGGGCCCTTTTTAATAATCCCTTGCTTTACTTTGCTTTGAAACACTGAAAAAAAATCCAGACCTTAAATATTTTTTTCTTCTGTTATGTGTGTTACTATGTAATAAAACATGCCCAGTACTTATGGGGCAGGAGTTCTGGTTGGGGTTGTGATGCAAGTGAACCAGCCCAGCCTTACTTTCCTGTTGGGTGTTGCCACTGGACACAGGAGATCAAACACAAATTTATGGCATAAGCGCTGTTCTAGAAGCTCGTGATGATGTAAGTTAGGGGTTTTTGGGTGCTTGGTGCTATTATGATGAAGGCCTGTCAGCAGACCAAATAATATCTGGGGCTTGTTAGCTGAGACAACACACACAGTGACTTCAGTTAAAATGAATCCAGTTCATTGGATGTGATTGTGCTGTTTAAAGCCCTGAGTTTTGCTGGATCCTTCTAGGAAAAAGTAAGTCCGCTTCTCTCTCTCTCTCTCCCCAGAAGAATAACTAGTGCAATGAGCAGGAGGGAAGGGGGAATATGCAGCTATTTTGTGGTGTTTCCAGGCATTTAAACCCACCTTCTGCTTGATGGCTGCTCTGTGAGACTAGCCCATTCCTGTGGCTGTGAAGAGCCCATCAGCCCAGAGTATTGCTGCATTTAAACAGGAACTTTACTGTGCTGATCTCCGTGTTCCTCTGGGCTGGAACATGTAATCTTTGTAGTGGTATCGAGCTGGCCGAGAACATATCTAAGAGGGGAAACCTCAGACTTGAGGCTTATTTTTCCGTTTTGTTTGTTTTCAAGGCAGAACTCTCCAAGCACTGCCATGAACATGCATAAAGAGGGCCAGGCAGCCAGATCCTTCTGTGAAAGCTAACTTGAAAGAGAAAACCACTTGCAAAATAAAAAGAACTGTATTAGGAGGCTTTAGGGTGAGGGGTGCCCAGAAAAGATCCTGAGGATAGCTCAGTGAGAGGCCCTATAGATGCTGCTCCTGTGATGAAGCAGCAGAAACCTCCAAGAAGGTGTCTGGCTTAGTCAATATAACTGGTTGCAGGTGTGTGCAGCCCTAGCCCACCTGTGGCCCTGAACCCATGAGAGGCAAATGGGAGTGTGTCTCCTCTTGCCAGCCTGGTCAGAACTAGAGGCAGGTCTGTCCTGATGGCCCTGTATCTCCCTGGGGGTAATCATTACTCTAAGTTTGGAAGCTGGATGGTGAAAATCCTGGCTTGAACCAGGGAGCATGATCTCATGGGCAAACTTCTCTTGTGCGAGAGTTGTAAAGACATTTGGCAGCATGCTGTCCACCATTAGCTTTGAATCTGAGTGTCTGATTCTTGGTAATCGTTGGGCTTTCTGAAGGAATGTAACTCCTGCAAAACTCAATGTACTAGTCCTTCCCTCTCAATGCTGTCTTTAGCCTTCAACTATTAGTGAGGGGAGAGTCAGCCAGCTGCCTGCCACTTGCGAGGTCCCCGCTCTGCCTGACCCTTTCAGACTCCTGCTGTCTCTATGCTAATGGCAGGTCAGCCAGAAGCCTCTCGTACCTTGAGGCAGATACTGCATGGACAATTAACCTTAGTTATGGGAAATCTAATTGAATAAAAAGAGCATTTACTTGTGGAAGGGCTGCAGTGGGTGAATATAATTGCTTTCCCTCTAAAGCAAAGCCAGGTTTGGAGTGGCCTGGCTCTGAAAGGGTTTTGCTGGTACTGTGGGTTCTGCTGTTTCCCTTCTCCGCTACCCCCTCTTATGGGGGCAGGCCTGCAAAGCAAGGGACAGTTTGGAGCCAAAGACAAGGTGTGAGGATTGCAACCCACAAGTCCTCTGGTTAATCGCATGCTGGGGATGCCAGGGCATGTCTCAAAATGCAGCTGGATGGAGCAATGGTTGAGTGCTGGACTAGGGCAGAGAAGGAATGAAACTGTTATTCCTGTCTGGTGCTTCAGAGACCTACTGCTTTTTCTAAGAAGAGTTGTGCCTGTCTGATCTCAAAGGATGTTATTCATCCCGATAATTCTCCTTATTACCTGGGTATAGATAGGCCTGTGCTAGGAAAGGTCCTATGAGATTGCTTTCAGGCAGATGTGTACAAGCTGAAGTGTTCCCAGTGCAGAAAGTGCAGCTTCTGGTTCTGGAGCAGAGCTGCTTTGAGACAGGCAGTCACTTTCCTTCTGTGTACCTCTTTTTCTGTGTTTGTACAAAATGAGAATAAGGGTATCTATGTGCTAACCAGGTCTCCTAGTTGAAACTCCTATGCATGTATACATTGCCAGGCCTCTTAGGAGAGTGGACGGGAAGAAAAACCCCTAGAGTGCTTTGCAGAAATATTTCACCAAGCATCCTAAGGCAGGAGAGCTGGCAGGCTGCTCTGTACTTGACAGCTAAGATTTAGGCCCTAATTCCTAAGGTAGAGCAGTAAAAGCAGGGCTGTGCTGAAAGAGGAGGAGCACAGCTACTCTGCTGCGAGGGGCTTCTGTAGAGTTGGCCTATGGACAGAGGGATGCATCAAAAACTCCTTCCTGTCTTGCATGGTAGAAAGTCTTAATTCATTATGGGATCTTTTAAAAATGGTTTTCTAACTTCCTTTTCCTCCTCCTAGTTCAACTTTGAAATTTCCCTCTTTGTGCAGCTTTTTTTTTTTTTAATGCTTAACTGTTGGTGTAGGGGGAAAAATAAAACCAGCTGTTACTTCTGTCACTGTTCACCCATATTCTAGCAGCAAAGCTAGATGCGTGCTATTAGAAAGGTGGTGAACAATTAGCTGGGCAAACAGGATTATCTTATTTTAGGGTTATTTAAAGTGAAGAGGTCCAGGACTGGAAAAAGATGAATGTGGCACATGCTCTTGAGTGTCTCAAACTCCACATATTCAGTATGCCCCTACTTGGGGGAGGAAGGAGTTGGGGGGGAAATGGATATGCTGGAGCTGCCTGTGCAGTGTGCCTGCCCAGAAGGTCGAGTGAAAGTTGCAGAGTATTTCTACTGGATTTACATTGGCTAGAGAAGGCTTTATGAAGCAAATGAGAACCTGTTTAGTTCCACAATTGCAATAAAACAAGGGCTTCCGAAAAGAAAAAAGGCTGAGAGGAAGCAATGAAGGAATCCAAATTGAGCTGCTTTCTCTACCACTTTAAGATCTGCCAGGCCCTAATGGTTATTTTGCTGAAAAATCCAAATGGCACTCATTATATTGTGCTTGTGGGCATTTCCTGTGCCTGGTAGATGCAGGAGAGTACCTTGAGGAAGTCTGTTGGAGACAAAAGTTCTTCCTGGTCAGAATTTGGGTCAGCCAAAAGTGTGAATTGAAAGATGCCTGAACTATATTTAGAAAACCAAGTATCTGGGAGGAGAACAACTTGTCTGCAAGTTTCCGACTTTCCTTTCTTAGACAAAGCTGTTGCTGTCTAAACGCTGCTCTTGGACATGTTGTTTTGCATCCTGGATGTAATGAGCCCAAAAGCTAAGCAGTGGGCTGCACCTATTTTGGGAGAATGAGTGGGTGATATTTTCTTCCTACTCCCTTCCCAGGGCTAGGAACAGAGCCCCAATCTCAGTTCCCATATGGCCCAGCCTTGCAGTGAGCAGTGATTGACAGCGGAATAAGCTATGGCTTCTCATGTAGCCGTCATGCCATGTGAGGATGCACAGCTCTGGAGTGACTCCATTTCCTGTGTGCAGTCTATATGAGGGGTAGTGAGTAAAAACCGTCCTCAGTGAACGAGTGAGAAAGGTTGCATGCTGCCATGAGGCTTGCTAATGCCATTACCTTTCCTCCTTTCATGATCGCAGATGGAAAAATATTGGCAGACCTAAGGGAAGAGGGGAAGCAACACTGGCGAGAAGTCTTTCAATTAGATGCCTCAAACTGTATGCCACCCTCTGATGGCGTCTAGATGCCTTTCCTAGCCCAAAGAGTGTGAAACATTTGGGTTCCCCTGTCCCTTAATTAATGGGATCTTTTATAGTCCAGCTTGGGTAGCAGTGGTGCTTGCTTCATCCTAGATGAGGAGGCAGAATCAAAATTCACCTGTATGTTCCTCTGGGACTGTGTGATGAGTTGTTTTCTCAGACCAAAGCTATTTGTCATAGCTACAGGGAAACTCCTTGCTGTGCTGCATAGGCAGCTTGGTTGAATAAATTTCAATGATCAAATCTGTATTTTTTTTTTGTTCTCTACTGTTTTATATGTAAATGCAGGTCCCACTACAGCAGCACCTGTCTCCTACAAGAACCCCAGGAGCTCTCCTTTTACCTCCAGCTTCTGAACTGTTTTTAGGCTGGATGTGTAGGACACTTCTGGACTGGAACAAAACTACTTCAAACTATTCCTTCTCTTTCCTGCATGTCTTTACTATGATAGTCCTGGCATTAGCCTGAGTTTCAACCCACAGCTATACCATGCATGCAGTAAAAAGAAAAAAAAAAAGTTTTAAACTCTTCTGTTTGGAGACAACCAAACCTGAGCTGTCTGGCAGAGTGGGAGGAATAGGTTAGACTCTTTCTGTAACGCTGAACGGAAACACACCCTTGTAGCCACAAAGATGCAGGCAAAAATCAGGTAAATTGGGAAGACTACAAATATTTTTGTT